GGAGTGGTCGCTCAGACTGAGACGTACCACAGGATGTCAACAGATTAGGCTCCTTAGACAATCTATTTAAAGACCCAACTAAAAGTCATCGGATAGATTATTTTCAGCCATTCCTGTAGAGAAAAGCTCGTCAGCTGTTGTTTATAAGAAAAAACATTCTAGCAGAAATATTAAAGGACACCATGTGCAGTGATCTGTGTAAATTAATAAGAAACTGTATGATGCAGTGTAGTCAACATTATTTACAAGCCTGGATTCAGGACTCTGATGGGGATGAAACTGAAGCACAGGCAGAGCAATCAGTAAAATCTCACTGTAGGAATCAAAGAGAACAAATTCCTTTTCAACAAGGCAACAGAGTGTCCCTGGAGATAAATCTCAGTTGAGCTATGGCCAGCCGAAACCCAACTGACAGAGACAGACCCCTCCAAAAAAGGCAGAATTTAGAATTGGCTCGCTCCCTAATTACTGAAGGGGAGCCAAGTTATTTCAGTGGTGCATTTTTGTGGTTAATAAAAAAAAGAAATGGAGCGTGCAGGGTTGTGATGAGAATAAAAAGAAAGGCTTGGGAATCAAAATAACAGTCAAGCTATAAGGCAATTCACATTGTGCTTCAAGTGGACACTATTTTACAGTTTCAAGTATTTCTAGGGCTTCAAGCCGTCATGTCGGACATGAAACATGTTGACATCGTATAAACCAGTGATATAACAGGAGCAGGACAACTGCAACACCTCAGGTTTCACAGAATAGATTTCTGTAATTCTACATTCTATATGTTGAATCACAGCAAGTCATGAAACACTGACAGTCTTGTTACAAATAATACTTAATACTTAACGCCATTACAAGCAGAAGAAACTCGATACCTCTTGGTAAATCCTGAGAGTCCCTGGGCAGTGGAGCATTACATCAGCTGTTGCAAGACAACCCGTCCCTTGTCTCCTATTTTCAAACTTTGTTCTTGGATAGGTTAATCAACTAATGGGGGTTGACAGCCAGTCGAGTCAAGTAGCAATATAGTACAGTTGACCTATTCATCTTAATTATACATTAGACATAAGGAAGTGACTTTGATTTTTTTAGTAACTATAGACTGAAGCTTCACAACCAAGTTCTTGCACCCAATCAATGCTTAAGAAAGTGAAAAATAAAATCCTGGATCTGCCCCTTTGTTCTGATCTACCCCATAAAGTTTTGCTGACAAACAAACAAAACAAACCAACACACAGAGGTAAAACATAACCTTGTTGGCAGCAGAAAAAAGTGAGAAACAAGTCTAAATGTAAAGCTCAGTTTTAAACCCTTCTTTCACACAAGTACAATGTTCCTGCTTGTTAAACACAAGTCATTTTTTTATCAGTACCCTGTAACTGTTTCACCACCACGTTACTGCCACAGGTTGAACAACAGCCATTTCCAACAAAGTCTCTTGTTATCAGCCTTGTTTGTTCAACCTTGCCACTCATTAGCAGACCCCCCTCTGGCTGTATGAATGGATAGGACTGGTCAATACACTTACCCTGCGTGCCCACTCACTGTCCATACTGCAAACAACAGAGGCCCGTGTGTTCTGCAGATTGCATCACAACCCCACTAACGAGCAGAGCCACTAGCCTGAGCGCACTAATGCAATTATGCAACACAAGCCCCGCTACTGTGAGTCGGGGCTATCGGAGGAGAGGAGTGAATTGGATGTGACAATTTGTGAGTTTGTTATCTTACCATTTCTATACAGAACTGGAGCTGCGCTCACTTTGACATTTGCGAGGAGAAGATACAGAGAAAGAAGGAGCAAGGACAGGAACTGGATAAAAATGCGAATCAAATAACAATTTATAGATCACAGAAAAGAGGGAGATTATCAAAAGGAATATGTTTGATGAAACAAACACAAAAAAATTACACACTATTGAAAATAGAAAGGGGCCGATATTGGCATGTAGTGTTATGTAATCTGTCTGGCTAAAGCTGTCTGGGGACACTGAGCATCAGCAGCAAACAACACCTCAGATCTGCTTCATCTCCTCTTCGCCAAGATTAGTGCACTACACGTAGAGCTCGGTATTAAAGGCTGGTGATTACAACCCTGTAGAACCACAGGCTACACAAGACAAACACAACAAGCTAATACAGGCACAGTTACAATGAGATGATTGGACAAGAGAGTGGAGAGACAGTGTTACATGGAGCTGAACGCCAAAGCAATTTCAAAGATGAAGCATGAGCTTTTCCTGACGAGACAGTTTGGCTTTGGGTTATAGCTGAGATTCAATGATGACTTCATCTTTTTCAAATGGGAAAGTCAAAGGAGAATAAGTACTTTCAGTTGAAAATAGAATATTTGTAGTCAACATCTAACTAAATGACATCTATTTTACACATTCTTATGTGTAACTTTCTCCACCAAGTAGGTTATGATTTCATCCGCTTGCTCGTTTGTTGGTTAGTAGGTTTACGCAAAACTACTCCATGGATTACCATGAAACTTGGTGGAAGGATGCAGTATGGAACAAAAAAAATACTGCAACATTTTCATTTGTAATTCATGGATCTTGATGAAAAAAATCAGGCATGTTAAGGGACTGATATTTTTCAGTGTGTGCAATTTGGTGCAGATGGAAATAAAAACCCAGACCAAGTGGGTTGAAATATGGTTTCATAAGGGGACTGTCCGACCTTGGCGGAGGTACGTTCTCTGAGTACAATTCTAGTTCAGTTCTATATTCTCATTACTTTTACTCTAATTTGAACCCAGTCTAGAAAGCAACAGTAAATCATATGTGGGATTTTATGGCCCTGTCTGATCATTAAGAGAAGTTGTTAGTCGGCTAATGAAGGAGTCTTTTAGGAGAATGGAAAGATTAGGATTTTTTTTTTTCCAAACAATGCTATTGTAAACACCTGTCTAAAGGATGAGGATGGTGAAACAATAAATCCATACATCCATACACTTCAACAACTTATTGATATCCTGTTGAAGATTATCATGTAGAATGATTTGATATCTTGGAGAGGAACTTGGACTTGGAAATAAACAAAAAATAAAACTTGTCTGCACATTTTAGGTAAGAGGTGCACTCAAGCTGAATAGCTATCAGCTGCTACTAAGATTACATTCCCCATGCATAGTTTGGATTCCCCAGGTACCAGTGTTAAGTGTCTAGGTTGAAGATAAGAGGAGTTTGATTAGCAGGGGTGCTATATTTACTGCCATTAGACAGGACCCCTTACCCTCTAAGGTCGTTCAGACTATCAGGAAAATGTATCCGTGGAATCTCCGTAGGTCAGGCATGAGGAAATATTATCACATTTGTTACTCATAAAAATTCAACGTAGAAATGGTGAACTTCAGAGTCCAAACAGTAAATGTTTCAGTTTCATCTATTTCCATGAGGGTCACTGGACATTACAACACGAACCTCTTTCCACTTTGAGAGTTCACAGTAACCGTGAATCAACATATCTTTCCCTTTTTGTATCTGAAAATAAATCTTTAAAGGGTATTATGCATGTCAGAGTGAGAAAGATGTTGGTTTACTGAGAGTATCGTACGTCAGGCTGAAATTCAAGGGCCTGAAGGCAGCTGCTGAATGTCTTTGTCCTTTCGTACATTAGCTTTTAAACAAATAGCACATATCAGGGAGGAATGAGGAGGAGAGGGTCACAACCGAGTGACAGAAATAAGGGATTACAAGTTTTCAAGTTGCTGAAAAGTCTTTCTGTAGAGCCCTGGTAAACTCCTGGCTTTGCAGGGCACACATATCTGAACACCGCAAATAAATCTGTTCTCAAACATGACTTACTTTAAACTCTCTCCAGCAGAGTAACTACTTCCTAGACACATATAATGAATCTTACAGATCCAGCCAAGCCATCAAGCCAAATCCGTCCCAAATAATTTTAAAACATTTTACATTAGCACCACAGACCTCAGCAAACTAATTCAGTTTTGCTAGTACTGGATTTATTTATTTTTATGTATCAATAATATCAAATTGCGATTAAAAAAAACTTTGTTTACAGCAACAGACAAAATGTTTCTCTGCATGTCAGATCCGGGTAAAAGCAAACCAAGCACACCGTGCAATGAACCGAAAGGCTGGGAACCACCCCTGTCTGTGTACCCAAGGGGTCAAGGTGACATTCCAAAACACCTCTGAGACTGGCCTTAATGGAGGGATTGGTACATGGCTTTTGTTGAGTGCGAAAGAGGAGACCATGAAAAAGGGTGTAACAAGAGATGGAAGTATGTAAAAGAGACAGAGGGAGGGAAATGAGATTCTGGGGCAAAATTATGGGATAAGATAAGAGGTGGGTTTTGGGGGAGTGAACTTAAACATTTCTACACATTTAGTCCATAAAGATACAAGAATATGGGGGGGGGGGAATGCTGTATACATGAAGTTTTGATTAATAGTGCCCAGACATATTTTCACATAATTCTTATAGACAAATTTTTAAATCCTCAAGACTATAATCCAAGTTGTTTCTGAGGTGAATGGTACAAACCATTGTTTTTATTTGACAATATTTCCAATGTCAAATCGTACTCTGGCTATATAATTGTGGGTTTTGGTGGAACAGTTAAGTATAATTTACTGTTAGTGTTTGGGTTGTAAAAACTATTTAGGTCTCTTTTAATTTGCATTCTCCTTTAAGCATCAATGTCTCCACAGCAAGTAAATATACACACATGAGCAGCACTATTACATCTGTGTTTGTGTGTTGTCTTAAACATGACTTTCAAGCAAATCTTCAAAACAAATAAAACTGAGATAGATTTTTATAAAGATTTTTGTTGGATTAGTCAATAATGAGCTCCTAATCAACTTTTAAAAACTTGAATTTAATGATAAAGTTGTGCTCAATTAGGTCATGAAAAAAAACTCATATAACTTAGTTCCAAATCCTCTGAGCCATTTAAACCTAACCTAATGTGACCTCCCATCCAGCAGAGTGCAGGTGCAACAGTCAAGCTGTGAAAATTTAACTCTTACCGTCATAAAATCAACAGACTGGAGACTTGCTAAGTAGAGTCAGGTATAGGTGAGCAAGGAGGTGAAAGCCCTGTCTCTTCTGCTCTCTGCTCAGGGTTAAGTCTCTCCTCCGGGTCAAGCTTTATTCCCAGATCTTTCTCCCGTTTAATGCCTGGGAAGCACAGAGACAACAGAATGAGGAGAAAGTTAGAGAGCCAGAGAGAGGGAGTGACAGGGAAAGAGTAGTTCCCTGTTTGGGTGAAGCCGTGATCAGATACAGCTATTTTCAGACTCAGGCATGCTCGTCTATGAGACTGGAAAGTTACCCCCCAGTGTAGATGGGTGGGGGCTAAGTGACATGGCTGACTATCTCTATTTTACCACACGCACACGTTTGCATGCATGCATACCACAGCTCACAGTATATACACACACTCATGCACGCAAAGTCAGGCTATTTCTATACGCACACATTCCCTCACTGTAAAACAACAACGCTGTCAGATACATTTTGTGATTCTATTGAAAGGTTACACCAGGTAAGATCACCTTTGACAGGTTATGCATGCATACATGGACTGTGGTTGTGGATAGCAGTGGCTGTGAGCAGACAGAGAGGGGGTGTTAGAGAGCCTCCGCACTTCCATCTTTCCTCCTGGGCTTTAATGTCACACAGTAGCCAGTGCCGTCACTGTGGTGCTATGTAAAGTAGCCTACTCCACACGGAAACTGACAAGAGTGTCAAATTCTTCTCACGTGAGATTTTCATTCACTTTCTGTTGCTGATGCTTTGATTGTCTGTCAAAAAGGGTCCCTCTGAGACTGGCCAATATACATGACTACACACGGACAAGCCCAAACAGTCCATTCTACCTTTTTATTTATTTCATTTTTATTACAAATGAGCCATGTGCACGTGCAGGCTGTAAAAATATACAGACTTATTTTATTCCCACTCACCTGTGTCATTAATAATCTTACTGCTGTGTAATCCATATGGGAATGTATATTTGGAAATGACCACACACATACACACACAGGGCTGAATATACACAGGAGAGAGGTCACCCAGAAGCACCTCTAGACCCCAGACTCCCTGCTATTCCCAGAATGATGATGTAACGCCTGCTATTAGTACTCCTATTTAGAGACTGGATACCTAAAACCAGCCAGGCAGCTACTGTGCAATATGCTATTTGGACGACTTCCACCTCCTGATTTCACACCTGCACTTGACAATAAACAAACAGGCACAAAAATCAGCAACTCACTAATAACTGTGGAAAGTGTTGCGCATTCTCTACAAAAGGAAACTCATGGAAATGCAGCTTCATTAGAGGCAAGGAGAGGGCTGATAAGATTTTTGAGTAGTGACTCAATTCCCCCCAACGAAAGCGGATAGCCAAAACAACTGATTCAAACTATGACCATTACAGTTAATGATGTTGCCTCTTTTCTTGTTGCCGTACATAATTTTAGTTTCATTCGATGTAACACAGAATGAACATTAATAACTTTATTATCTTTGGCCACCGCCTTTCTTTGGATTGCAAAGAAAACAAAATAGTCTGTAGTCTACGACATAAGGCTAATTCATGCTGCCTTTATGTGCCAAAAGTAATACGTTCATTTCAACCAGTGTAACCACCACTACCCACATACTTCCATCCTTTATGTTGTTGAATTACATCCACTAGAAGGCAGTAAAGAGGCAAGAGTTTCATCTAACAACAACCGGCTATTTTTCCCTGTGACGATACCAAAATTACCAATTACCAAAAGCATCCACACCAAAACATTTCTTGGCCCAGGTCCCATTCTTCAACCAAGTTTCATGGAAATCCGTTTAATAGATTTTGTCTAGTCCTGCTAACAAATAAACCAACCAACCACCTTTGCAGGGGGAATAAGAGTAACTGGGTAGGCAGCATGTTTCTTTAAATGTATGAAGCCACAAGAGTCAAACACTAAACTTGTGTGCGGTCAACCTGCAGTCAACCTTTAAATCACGTACTAATGGACTTAGTTGAGTTGTCCCAGATCAACACTGACTGTGTCTGCTTTCATCGTGCAAATGATGAAGTGGTAATGTAAAAATCCCATCTTCACAGGCACTACAGTGATCAGTGTGTCAACAGACACGATCGAATGGCAGCTGGCCCCGAGAATTTTCTGGTCTCGTGCCAGGGATCAGCGAGCTATGGTGAAAAGCTGACAAGTGACAGGTGCCAATGATGCAGCCTTGGGGCCAGAATCAGAAGAGTATCAGGGGACCAATAAAGTATTTGAGTTTAGTTATGAAATATTATATTTTTACTGAAGACATGATCCTTTAACCTACTCTGACCTTTCAAACGATGATCAACGAAAGCCCCATCAACATCTGAAGAAACATTACCCAAAATTTTACGACATTTTACTAATCTAGATCACATCCCTCTTTCATCTGAACTATGATGTGACTTTGATCATCTCCTCCTGATTTATAAAAACAATTAAAAACCATCATGACACAGCAGCAGCATAGGAATGATCTCATTAAAGTACCAGAGCAAACTATTTTTATAGCAAGTGACACACACTCACACTCAAACACACCGACACTTTGACCTATGAGCCACTCTGGACTACAGCGGCCGCGTCGACATGGTCTCACTCATACAGTTTCAGCACCTAATTCATTATCAGCTTCTGCAAGGCCCTGCCATTTCCACTCAAGTAAGTGGCAGGATATAAAAAGCATGGAGAGGGGTGCATGTACACATTAGTAAGTGTCACTTACTGGAAAACACTCAAACCTGAGAGCAGATCAAAAAAGGAAAAAATAAATCTGCAAATATTGTGCAGCAGGCACAGCGCCAAAATTTTGTTCACTTGGAACGACACTCAGTGCCGAAGAATATGAGCTGGGAACTCCAATGTGACATGTGATCTCATGGTTAACAGATTTATTACATGTAATTTAAGAAAACAAAAGTAAGTAAACCATGATCTCAAAAGGTTGAACAGAACTGTTAGTCCTTTCAGAGCTCTCTAATAGACATTGTAAAGAGTCACTTCTTCAGTTATTATAGTTGACAGCTACAGGATGAACCATGGCATTTAGCTTCACCCCCAACCTTTGAGAATTGTGGGTTTTGCTCTGCGATGGGTTGAATACTACAGTTGTGTCAAAATCAAGTGGTGTACATGCAGTTGTTTTTGTTTGAAAGAACAGAAATATCATTCTGCACATGTTCCTCCAAACATTCTTCTAACGTCATCTGAAGTGTAGGAGACTGCATTTGTTAATTCTGACCTACACAGGTGCTAAAGGTAGTCTTTGTCCTGGCTTAGCAGGATAGACTAATTAATCCCTCTGTGTTGTGTTGCTAATCAGTTTAAAGTATATCCCAATCCTCTACTACTTAGAGACTTTTTTAAGTTCGACCTTTCTGTAGTGCTCTGGTAAACTAGTATTTGTTCTTATAAAATTGATGTAAGGGATACATTCAAAGAGAAGGGACAGAAATTATATTTAGGTTCAAGAATAGACCTGAAAATCATAGGACCCTGGTTGGAAGGATGTGCCAGTAAATACAGGAATTTAAAAAAGCTAACTAAACGTTGGTCACTTGGCTCAAGTTATGCTGGAGATAGCTTTTAACTACACATAGTCATCATGGCTGCCTCGGAAATCCTATGTCTGTTTTGGTGCATCAGTTTTCACCATTATCATGACATGTCGCTTTTCCTGCTATAAACTCAGAGGTAACCACAGGCTAATCTGTCACCATGTTTTCATATATAGAATGCAAATTCATAAATTCTCTAATCTCTGTTGTGGGCCCTTTAGTGGAATACTCCAGTAAGAGACATAATACATAACAAGTATGTTTACAGTTCACAGCTCACAACACATCTGATTATCCACGGCTTTGAGAAGTTTTAAAGTTCAAAGTATTTACTTCTAATTCTTTTAACCGCAACAATTAAAAGCACAAAAAGAACATGCAACGATTACAGCAGTAACAACAAAATCCAATATCGAACCTATTTCAGCAAGATAGGATGTTGGTAGCCAGTTTTTAGTTTTTCATAATTATCTCATTGAGAATTGTGTCCAACACCCAAATCTTGTCCATTAGCCAAGAATCACTGATCATCCTGAAAATGTTTCCTCTGTCAAAAACAAATTAATATCTTCAGAAAAGAGACCTGGTTCAGCAGTTCAGCAAAGTTGAGCAGTTTAGGTAACAATCACCTAACGGCTCAGGAAGCTCTTAAGGATTTGGTCACTAAGAAAGCTTAGGAAGCAGGCATGTCCTGCAGGCGGTATCAGTAAAACTGAGAATTAGTTTTTCACACAACACTTGAGCCACGACTTCAGCCTCTGAAGAAGGGCAGAGAGACAGATAGATAAAGGAGGCAGCCAAGGGACAATGAGAAAAGAGGGGACACCAAAACAAGGAAATAAAGGACAAAAGGAAATGAGAAGGAATGTGTGTGAGACCGAGAGAAAGAAAGAAAGTGAACTAACAGAGTAAACCTCTATTATGGTCTTTACTTTCAAAAAGAATCACATTCTCCTATTCCCTGATGACCTGCCTTGGCACTTTCTACCAGAAACTCTAAACTGGCAGGTGCAACTGAGTTAACGCTAACAGAGACACACTCTCTGGCCATCAGTCAAGTCAAAATGCAATGTTCGCACACTGAGTGTGTATATTTAAGCCTCTATGGGAAGCTGTTTATTGGTGCAGCAGCCCCTCATGAGACAGATAGCGTCCAACTGTTGCTTGCCATGATGGATCCTGCTGTGTGGCTTCCTGCCCCCCCCCACACACACACAAAAGCATGCAGATGTATAAATAAATAAAATGCTAACATCACAGAGCTGTAAAATGATGTCTACACACACAGAGATATACCACATACTCACAGGACAGGTAGGCCGCCCTGGGAGTGGTATGAGGTTCCCGGAGTGATAGTGTTACACTTTGTGCATCCTGGACACCTCCCAGCTCTCCCAGCATTCAAATGGGTTTTGCAGACACCGTCCATCGCTGCTGGGCATTTATTTAGTTTTTCATGATTGCATCATTCTTCCAAACCTGATAGTTGGTAGCACCACATGCAGAAACATAAGGGACAACTCTATCTTACTAAATGTGAAGCTGGAGAAGACAAAGGCTGCACTGCAACAAATGTGAATGAAAATCTGCTGCTGTTGCACAAAACCCATGGATTTTCTCTCTAGCTCCTTATAAATGAGAGACTGATTTGAAGGCAACAAGCATCAGCAGGAATGAGGAAAAACTCAACCTCAATATTGACTTTACAGTTTCCCCCCTTGAGGAACTGGCCTGCACACACACCTGACTCATGTGTAGGTGTGTTGTAGGGTTATTTAAAAAAAAGCAGACACACAAAAATGACTCACAACAAACCCCAAGGGGTCCTGTTTTCTCAAATTGCGAAAATGTACATTAATGGTAGAGCAGTAATGAGCTTACTGTAGAGTTGTGTTGTCAGAAAACCCTGTGGGAGCACTTCCACTGTACAACAATAGGGATTATCCGGAGCATTTAGGATGTAGGTTAAACATGGATCTCTCAATTCCTGTTTATTGCAATCAAACCGGCTCTTTGTTAATGGACACATGCGTGTTTTATTCTCTCTCTCTCTAGTGTTAAGCAATATCCTTCTTTCCCACACAGCTTCATTTAAAAGCCCGGTGGTTTCAGCAGCCCTGCCTGCCCGCATCTTCCAGTAAAGCCCCGCACACAGCAGCCAGCCCACTGGAATGCACTGTAAGGGGGAAACAGACTCGACTTCGCCGCATCCAGGATGAGCTGGTTCACTGAGATCAACCACACGATGGTTGTAAAACACCAAAGCTAGCTGAGGGTCACATCCGCGGAGGGAAAGGTGGATCCGTAGCCCCCCCCCCCCCCCCCCCCCCCCATCTTTAACAACAGCAGTGCGGGTACCTACCTTGTTTTTTAAAAAACGACTGCGGTTTCGCTCCTTTAATCCCGCAACATGTCAGCAGGTGTCCGGTCTCTTCCGTGTGAAGCCTCCGGGGGTCCTCACTCGGAGAAACAGCCGAAGAAGCAGCGGCGGTGGCGATTCGTTAGCTAGCGCCGCGTCCCGGTGATGAAACCGTACACCTGTTTGTCAGCGCGCATGGATGTTGACTCCCTCCTCCTCCTCCTCCTCTTCCTCCTCTTCCTCCTCCTCGCCGGGGGTCAGAGGAGAGCCAAGGGTCGGGTAGCAATGCGGTGAAGCCCCCCCTCTTCCCTCCCTTTCACACCTCCCTGTTCCTCCTCAGACACAAACCCTCCAGGGAGCAGGAAGAAGTGGCGACGCGGCGGCGACAGAGGAGGAGGAGGAGGAGGCTCGGTCACCGCATGGCACCAACCGCGTCCTCTCCCGAAAATGTCCCGAGCCTGCCCCTCGTTTCCGTCGTTATTATTAATTATAATTATTATTTCTGGATGATGTCCGTGGCCCCGAGCGCAAAATGGCCTCTTGTTAGTTCCATTCAGCAACAGTTCACCGCGAGCTCCTCATTGGGTCCTCGTGTCGCCATGGCAACGCCCGCGGTTCAGCCAGTGCGGGACAGAGAGGACACACCGGAAGTGAGTGCACAGCTCAGGGGCCCGCAGCTGAGTGACACTGTAAAGGTCCAGTGTGTGAGATTCAGTGTGAAAGGGATTTTTAATTTGATATGAAATAAACCTAGTGAAGTTTTCACTCGTCTGTGCGATCGTCTGAATGTCACGAAATGTAGTTTTCTTAACCGTAGAACTTTATGCCGCTTTCCATTAGTCTACACCTCAGAGCTCGGGGCAAGGCGCTGCAGCCGGATAACCTCAGTTGATAGCGTTCCAGTTGCACAGGAACAACGTTTAAGTTCACGATAAAGCAATACGCTGCACTTCACACAAACTAGCACTGTAGTAACCCAACCACAGACAGTAATTGGACAGTACTACTTGTTCAACACATTTAAGATAGAAGTGCTAAATAGCAATACAAACTACAACTTTCACTAGTGCTGATACACGGCGCAGCCACTTTGAATTTCAAAGTCGAGGGTGGTTGGGTTCTCTTCACAACTGAAGCTACCACAGGTTCTCTTTCATAGTTGGAAGGGGAGGGTGAGGTGAGGGGTATTTAGCTGCAACACGCAACTTCAACACTAGATGTCAGTAAATTCTACACACTGAACCTTTAATGTCTGGAGATGGAATCTGAGGCAGAACAACGTGGCTGGTTTGCAATAGTTTGCCCTGTGGAGGTTGGCTGTGGGGGTTTTATTGCAACATCCACCATGAGGTAGCTCAAAGATCAAGGAATCCCAGCCCTGCACCAAAGTGTAAACAAAACATCTCAGAATACAGAACGCTTCAGCCAGTTCTGGATCAGGAGGAAAGATCCTGACTGGACCCCAATATGTTATCCTGGTCTGAGACACACCACAGGGTGCGTTTTGACTTTTGATGGCTTAATTAGCTGGGGAATTAAATCAACCTCCCCCCCATGTTTGTCTGACAGTCAATGCTAAATACCCGGCGACCATGGGAGAAAACACATTTGAACATTTAGCACATTGTATTGTTTTTTGCATTTGGCATCTTGTCTTAAAGATAAACCAACAGGTTCCGGACAGAATCAATCTATCCATCTCTCCTTTGCAATAATTACATATGTGATGTCTCAGTGCAGCATCACAAACAATGGGAGAAAAAGCCCCACTACTCATGAATTTTTGAAACCTTTCAAGGGCACTTACAAACGGTCTTGTGACCTAATATGAAAATAGACAAGAAGCCAAAATGTGATTCTGTTGTATGTTGAAAATTATACTTCAGTAGTTTTTGGCTACAGTAATGGCTATAGTACTGTTTCACCTGTTCAGATCTGTGATAGATTTCACTGTCTTGTTAAATTGAAAAGCCAATATGATCAGTAACACAGCCACAGAACCTGCATTCTAAATACAATCACCGCTTGCATAAAATAAAGTACGTTGTTTACAAATGATAAAAGAAGAATAAACTGATTTTAATATGTGGATTACCTGGTTTAATAGATTTCCTTGTCAGCTTATTTAATGTAAGTGCATATTGCGCATCATGTTTTACTGTTTAATGCTGCAAGAAACTCACTATGAAATGCCATCTTAGATATCCATATAATCTTGAGTTATATTCAAATCAAATATTTTATCATTTTTAAATCCACAGAGAAATTTTGTTGTTCACACATGCATAAAAAAGCCCCTCTCTTCTGCCAACATAAAAGGGATACAGATTTAGACTGTTATTGATAGCTGACCTTTGTGAGGTGTCAACAAGACAACATCTGTGCGTGTGGAGCTTATTTATGTGTGTGTGATTTTGTGGGTGTGTACTCGTGCATGCATGTGTTGTGGTCTTTTATCACTGCCTCTTATGTGCAGTATAGGCCACCCTTAATGAATCTTACTGTTGTCAAGTACCTTGCCTTTTTATAGCCCCTGCGCTATCCACAGACATGTTCTCAGCAATCCACTCTGACGGGGGCAGGGAAGACGATGACAATACGTTATATCTGGTAGGCAGTGGCCCACTGGTGAAACAGGTCCAGACACAGTGAAGATGGATGTGTAACTACATATACAGGAATCTGTACCTTAAAGCCTGATATGGCTTTAAGCATTTCTTGTAGAGTTGGCTATCGCTGCAGTGTTAATTTAATGTATATATCAAGTAATGACTGGAGAGCAATCAAAAAGTTAGCCTTGGATGCAAAATATACCGAGGTTGCCTGTAGTTAAGGGTTCCTCACAAGTATTTTCTGGATATGTACCAGACTAAATTAAATCCACATTTGGAAGGGGAGGGTGAGGTGAGGGGTATTCAGCTGCAACATGAAAGTTCACCACTAGATGCCACTAAATTTTAAACACTGAACCTTTAATGCTTGACCATGGGCGGGCCTGACAATTGGTGCTGGTGCGATCGTTATGACAACAACAACCACAGACAGGACACGTAACATAGCTGACTTTCATGCTAACCTGTCATGCTAGCAGTCCATGCAAAGGGAAGTACATGGAATAGTACACTACAATGGTACTCAGTCAAGCGCATTCCTACACCAAAATTTACTGGGTTCTTCCTGTACTCATACTGCATCCTTCCAACAAGTATCATGGAAATCCGTTCAGTTGTTTTTCAGTAATCTTGCCTCCAAACAAACATACATAAAGGGTGAAATCTCCTTGGTACTAAACTCCAACCCTCCATCCAAACCTATATCAGGTTCAGCTCCAGGTTCTTCCTCCTTCTACCACCTGAGATGCAACTAAAGCAAAGCAAGGGCAGCACAATGCAGATTGACAATGCATGACGTCACTCTATTCAAAGTGAATGAGCGGCCTTTCCATTGAAGCCACCAACACATACAAGTGAGTGCTCCATTATAGTATTTCCCTTTTAGGATGACAACATGAGCCTTATCTTAGAGTGCATTAAATCATCAAGCATGTGTTGTGTTTTTATGGCGACAACAACTATTCTAATTCCACATCACGGCTGCAATTATCTAAAGTCCAAGCCCGAACATACACTACCACCCAACCCCCACAGCCTCTCCTAGAATAGACCACAATAAAGCAGAGCAGGCTGGCACAGTGATCTTGTGAGAAAATAACTCTTTTATCTGAGCCGTGGCACTGTCTCACATCTTTCCACCGTTGCTCTCCAAAGAGGTTCCACATTTGGAACAGCTGATACTGAGGTCCACTTGTCTGGCTAATGTTAAAGTAATACAGTGGTGCTGAGCGAGACGACATGGGCAAATGAGTGCATGGGGACATTGTCTGGCCGTGACATCAGGACACGTCTACTTATATTCCAGAATGCTTTGATGTCTAAGAGCTGACCAGGTGAACTGCCAATTGGCTGTTCTGTGACAGATCAAGGCTGCTGACATCACAGTCAGGCATCACCACTCTGTCACTTAGGAAGGTGCTTGCCAACCTACTACCTTCTGTTTATTGCTGCAGGCTTTTAATTTCATGTTCGCTGTATTGTTTAATTTCCTTATTAGTCTGGTTTTCCCCTCATCAGTTGCAGTTAGTCAGACATCTGTCTTAATTAGGATCAGTTGGCTGCCTGCCATTTTGACATAGATACACCTTTTACGGAGAGTGAAGGAGAAATCCTGAATCCAACCAACCAACATCACTCCACCACCCAAATAAAAAAAATAAATAAAAAAATACAATTAGTACATCCAGCTCAACACTCACCCCTGGCTTTTGTGCTATACCAATCAAAAACTGTGAAAAGGCCAATGTCACTGCTGGCAAAGCATCGTTATTCATTGTCGAGATGAATCGTGAAGAGAAGATGAAGAATAACAAAATAACGAATTACACTGCGAAGGACACATGAATAAAATCCACAAGAATCAGGCTCAATTTCAGCTCACACAAGTTGACATCATTATTGGTGTTCCTGTCTAGACCATCGGATGTATACAAAGATGGATGATACATCTCCTCTTCCTCCCGTTTATCCAGAAATGAAGCCAAAATATTCTGGATGTGAACGGTTCAATCTTCTGCATTTGGAGTCTGCATTAGGAATCAAGGAGATGGAGCCACACCAGCGAGGCCCTGCTGATACATACACTTGACCAATCTCGAGTCAGTTTCAGCTGTACATCATACATCATTGTGATTACAACAATTTTAAATGACAGGCCTTCTTAATCGAAAATGTATTTGATGTGTTCTTTGACTTTATTACCTATACTGCAGCCAGCTGATAGATGATTTGGCTTCACGTTTGGGGAGCAAACATGCTGTCTATCTTTACATATGATAACGTAATGGTAATCTAAACGTCAAGATTGTGCGTGTTATGATAGACAGAAAAATACTTGAGCTGTGTGGCAGGGGTGATCTGCAAAACTATTAAATAACTCCATAAACTTATATTTGTTTTCAAGTAAATTGTCTCCACAATATTTAGAATTACATTCGGCACAGCTATGGTGCCTAGAGGATAGATCCCCTGACTTTTCCTGCAGCTCCATCAACAGCTCAAATTTTTTCAAAATGATTTTTCCAAACCCCTGACCTGAGATGTTGTGTAAAATATCTGCAGAGATATTGATTGAATTGAAATGAAAGTTATCTCACTACTGTAATTGGGATATTCTTACATTTGATCTGTTCATCCCTCTGCACAGTGATATTGAAATTCCTAATCTGACTCCTTGAGCTCACAACCTCATCCACTTCTCTCCCTTCTCCTTATCAGGTCATGAAGGGGGGATTATCTTACGACGGTTATGCAACATACCTCTTCATGTGTCCCACGTGCGTCTTTCAAACACAATTACTTCTCTGGAACGCATTTCTAATATTACTCTGCACTTCATCCACCTCTGTGCCCTCTACCGTGGGTAAGCATGTCCTCTCCTGTGCGGCTGCTAAGTGGATTGATAAGAGCTGTTGTGGCTGATGAAATGTTACTTAGCTGGATGCTGATGGGATGGCTGCCAGACATTCCTGTATT